AGGGCCGGCGCACCATCCACAAGGAGACGGGCTCGGGGGGATGGCCCAACGGGCTCACTGTGGATTATCTGGAGAAGAGGATCCTCTGGATCGATGCCAGGTAGGGCCAGGGCACCTCAGTGTCCCTCCCAGTCTGGATCTTCACCTGGTTCCAGCGTTGTGCTGGGCTGGGAGAGAGGTCTTCACACTGTGGCGCTTCTCTCTTTTGGATCTGACCATAGATGGGGGGTGCTGAGATCTTTGGGGTCTGGCCATGGATAGGAGGTGCTGAGCTCTTTGGGGTCTGACCATGGATGGGGGTGCTGAGCTCTTTGAGGTCTGGCCATGGATAGAGATGCTGAGCTCTTTAGGGTCAGGATTATGGATAGGGGGTGCTGAGCTCCTTAGGGTCTGACTATGCATAGGGGGTGCTGAGCTCCTTAGGGTCTCACCATGGATAGGGGATGCTGAGCTCTTTAGGGTCTGACCATAGATGGGGGGTGCTGAGCTCTTTAGGGTCAGGATTATGGATAGGGGGTGCTGAGCCCTTTAGGATCTGTCCATGGATAGGGGGTGCTGAGCTCTTTCGGGTGCTGACCATAGATGGGGGGTGTTTGTGTCTCCAACCCTGGCTGTGGGTGTTCTCCTCTGTGGATCCTGGTGTAAATCAGCAGGATTAGACCTTAGCCCCTGCTGGTTGTTGCTGTTGGGTTCAAGACCCGGTGGTGCCCCCTCCTCACCTCCCTCACCCTCATCTCCCCCCGGCACAGGTCGGACGCCATCTACTCAGCCCTGTATGATGGCACAGGGCACATCGAGGTGCTGAGGGGACACGAGTACCTGTCCCACCCCTTTGCTGTCACCCTCTATGGCGGGGAGGTCTACTGGACTGACTGGCGCACCAACACCTTGGCCAAGGCCAACAAGTGGACAGGGCACAACGTGACCGTGGTGCAGAGGACCAACACTCAGCCCTTTGACCTGCAGGTGTATCACCCCTCCAGGCAGCCCCTGGGTGAGTGCAGGGGGACACAGGGTGGGGGGACAGCAGGGGGTGGCACTGGTGCTTGGTCTAAGCACACTAACCCTTGGATGGGCTTAGACCAAGGGCCAGGTGGATGCTGCTCTCATCCTTGTGGTTGCCACTTTGCCCCATCAGGTGATGCTTGATGGAGCAGGCAAGGTCTGGGGTGGCTGCAGCTCTTGGGGACTCCTGGATGGGTGTCCCCAAGGCTGGGATGTCACTGAGTGCTGTCCCCTTTGCAGCTCCTAATCCCTGTGAAGCCAACGGGGGCAAAGGGCCGTGTTCCCACCTCTGCCTCATCAACTACAACCGCACCCTGTCCTGTGCCTGCCCCCACCTCATGAAGCTGGACAAGGACAACACCACCTGCTATGGTAGGGGTCTGCTGGGGAGCTGGTTGGGAGGATGAGGGCGTGCTCTGGAGCTGAGATCCCACCTCTGCCCTTCTTATTCCAGAGTTTAAGAAATTCCTGCTGTACGCACGGCAGATGGAGATCCGGGGCGTGGACATTGACAACCCCTACTACAACTACATCATCTCCTTCACCGTGCCTGACATTGACAACGTCACCGTGGTGGACTACGACGCCCTGGAGCAGCGCATTTACTGGTCAGATGTCCGCACCCAGACCATCAAGAGAGCCTTCATCAACGGCACCGGCGTGGAGACCGTGGTGTCTGCAGGTTGGTGTGGAGGGAGATGGGATCCTCCAAAGCCTTCAGCTCCTTGGGATTTGCCCTTCCTCTTCATCTGAGCATCATTCCAGCCCTGACGAGCTCCCATCTTCATTCCCTTGCAGACCTGCCCAACGCTCACGGCCTCTCCGTGGATTGGGTTTCCAGAAATCTCTTCTGGACCAGCTACGATGCCAACAAGAAACAGATCAACGTGGCCAGGCTGGATGGCTCCTTCAAGAACGCTGTGATCCAAGGGCTGGACAAGCCTCACTGCCTGGTGGTGCACCCACTCCGGGGGTGAGTATAAGTGTGCACCCACCAGTGTGTGCCAGTCCAGGTGTGCACAGGGCTTTGGCTCCTTCCTGGGTAGGGACAAGGGGCTATGGGGCTGCCCAGGCTGTGCCACGAGCAGGTGAGGGGCTCTGCAAGGCTGGAAGGGTGCAGGGGGCTGCTGGCACCATGGCCCCTCACCCATTGTCCCCTCACCTTGCAGGAAGCTCTACTGGACAGATGGGGACAACATCAGTGTGGCCAACATGGATGGCAGCAACCGCACGCTGCTGTTCACCAACCAGAAGGGACCTGTTGGTATGGACCCCCCATAGCCCCCAGGATCCCCCACCTCGCCTTGCTGTGCTACAGAGCCTCAAGTTCCCACTCTGGCTCCTTGGGGAGGTGGCAGCTGTCCTGTGCTGGGTCACCATGACCTCAGCTGCCTGCTCTCTCCATGGATCCCATTCCATCCCATCCCATGGATCCCATCCCATTCCATGGATCCCATTGATTCCATCCCATTGATCCTATCAATCTCATTAATCCCATTGATCCCATCCCGTCCCATTGATCCTATCTCATAGATCCCATCCCATTGATCACATCGATCCTGTTGATCCTATTGATCCCATTGATAGCATCCCATTGTTCCCATCCTATCCCATCCCATCCCATTGATCCTATCCCATGGATCCTGTAGATCTTGTTGATCCCATCCCATTGATCCCATCTCATTGATTCCATTGATCCCATCCCATTGATCCCATCAATCCCATGGATCCCATCCCATCCCATCCCATCCCATCCCATCCCATCCCATCTCATGGATCCTATCCCATCCCACCTCCCAATCTGTCACAGTCCCTGCGTGCCACCAGCCCGGTGACATTCCCATCCTTTCCAGGCCTGGCCATCGACTACCCAGAGAGCAAACTGTACTGGATCAGCTCTGGCAACGGCACCATCAACAGGTGTGACCTGGATGGCAGCAACCTGGAGGTGATCGAGTCCCTGAGGAGCCAGCTGAGCAAGGCCACCGCCCTGGCCATCATGGGTGAGGGGGGACACCATTCCCCGTCTCCTGCTCCCTCCCAAACCCTCCTGCCCACCTCAGCTGATGAGGAATGCTGCCACATGCTCCTGCTTTGTCCCCACCACCACAGGGGACAAGCTGTGGTGGGCTGACCAGGCCTCGGAGAGGATGGGCACCTGCAACAAGAAGGACGGCTCGGAGGTGACGGTGCTGCGCAACAGCACCACGCTGGTGATGCACATGAAGGTGTACGATGAGAGCATCCAGCAAGGTCAGTGTGGGCTCCTGGGGCAGAGACCCCATGCAGAGACCCCCGAGCAGCTGCTCAGCCCCTCTCTGGTGGCTCTGTCCCTTGGAACCCCCTTGGCAGCTGGCCCAAGCCTTGCCCTTGCCCTCGTGACAAGCTTGTGCTGGCTGCTCTCCCCATCCCATCCCATCCCATCCCATCCCATCCC